TTGGGTTTAAGGGTTTTGGGTTTAAGGGTTTAGGGTGTAGGGTCTAGGGATCCCTAAGACCTAAGCCCCAGCACTACTGGTTTCCAAACGTTTTTTTCCGTGCCTTCATTCCTTCCACTAAGCCTTACACGCATTAGTAGCTTCCAATTTCTCTGTTGCATTTCCTAACCCTCAGATAATGGTAGTAGATTCCATTTTCTTTTTGATTCCTTCCCAAAACCCTAAACCCTATACCCTCCTCTTTAACAGCCAGCAAGTTGACCCTAAACCCTACAGGCCCTACATATACCTTTAAACCTTCAGTTTCAAGTTGATTTCCCATTTGATTTTCCTTCCCCTACCGCAAAACCTAGCCCCCTAAACACCAAATAGTAGTTTGCATTCACTTGTCCATTTGCCTTTTCCATTTGGTTGCCCATGCTCTAACAATCAGAAAGGATGGTATACATCTGCTGGGCTTTGGTCGTGGGGCTAAATGCACAAGCTGTGGCCTATGGCCTTTGCGTGCTCTACATTCTGGGAAGTGGCCTGTCCAAGGTCATTATTGGAGGCTGCCGCCACTGGATCTCCCCATCCACGATGAGAGCCATCCTCCAGACTTTTGCGCAGAAGACCCCAAAGCAGGGTGGGCCCATTCTGGGCTTTGCAAACCGCTTTATTTGCCGCAGTGATCTCCTTTGCGCCCTTTTGGGATTGGCAACGTTGGTTTTCGAATGCATGGTTGCCCCCAGCGCCTTCTTTCTTCCGTTGCCCTGGCGCTTTCCAGTCGTTGGCATGGGTATGATCATCTTGCACCTAGGCATTGGTGCAGTGCAGAGTGGGGCCATTGGCGCCTTCTTCTTACCCAATGTGGCAGCCTATGTAGTGGGCTTTGGCGACTTTGGACCTGCGGAGCATAGTACTGTTTGGTCAGATTGTTCTCCAACTAACCTCGACATGTTCTCTCCTGGGTGGTACCTCGCTATGGCTGTGTGCTTCTTGCCGTTACTGGCTGCAAGCCTCCGCCCCACGCGGCTGATCCCGGAGGATTGGCCCTGGACGCCCTTTGCGCTCTTCCCATGGAATGCAGCCCAGTGGCGCTTCCTTCACGACTCCTTTGTGACGGGTGATACTAGGCTGGTCGTCCTCTCCGAGTGCCCATCCAAGCCAGAGCTCAAAGGTCTTCGTGTCATCCCTATTGAGCACCGCTCGGATGTCCCTCTGATGCAGCGCAGCATTCGGCCTCAGAATGAGGAAGCTGTACTCTATGATCTCTGGAGCCGCACCCTTGGCATCACCACGTACCAGGACGAGCTGCTGGTGGGTGCTTTGCGAAACAGATTTTATGGTCAGTTGGCACAACCATTGCTGGAAGGTGGGGTTCCGCAGTCTGGAGAAGCTGCTCGTCTCTATGCGCTGAAGAGCATCGTTGATTTGACTTCCAAATTCCTGATCGAGACACAGCGCGTAGTCGAGCTATCAACAGGCATGCCTCTTACGCAATGTTGCCTGGTGCGAGTCAACTCGAGTAATGAGGTGCTGGAAGTGATCATCGCAAACCCAGCAGAGAAAACGCAGCCAGCGCACTTCTCCAATTCGATCATGATGGCGAGTGGTGTCTCAGCCACGCAAGAACCCCTACAAAGCCTCCAAGACCTTTTTTCTCAATACGACCTAGATCCAAGCCATGATTTTGTGCCAGACCCGCAAGTTTCAACTAAAACTCAGGAAAGCCCTAAATCCACAAAGCCTCAACCTCGTAGCCCTAAGCAGCGGAGTCGACGCTTCGATCTCCAACCGATGCCCCGGCCTTTCTGAATATTTGTTGCAATTCTGGCTTCTCTTGAGCCTTACATCAGGTCCAGTACATATTTTAGCCTGCGTACAAGGTCCCATTTTAGCCCTCATCTGAAGCCCGCTTCTCCATCCTGCAGAAACTGTCATACGGTTTTAAGAGGCTTTCTTCTCCTACAATTGCTATGGCGACTATCCTCGCGTGCACGATTGTGCTGATTAGCTGACTAGCACTTCCACTGTTCATACTGGAAGTTTCCCGCAATTCGGGACCCCAATATAAAGCTCCAAAGACTAGACTCCTTATCAGGACCCCCAAAATGGTACTCCTCACTTTCGGAAACCCTTATCCCTATAAACCACTGTTAAATTTCGCTGCCATTTCATTTTCGATTTTCTTTTCCCTTTGATTCTCCATTATTGGGGGGATCCAAAATATCCCTATATAACCCCTATATAATCCCTATATAACCCTTATATAACCCTTATATAACCCCTATGTAACCCTTATATAACCCTTTTAAAGCCTACCCTTATAAGACTATTGGAGGCCCTGGAGGCTGCTGGAGCCGGGCCCCGCCCGACCTCGGCACTGGATGCGGGGCAGTGGCCCGGGGGCAGTGGAGCTTCGGGTTGAGGCTGCTACTCATAGCTACACGTGCCCCACCCCCACAATCTATATATATATATATCTATATAAATATTTTTATAAGCAAAGAAAATATATATATGTAGCCCAATGTAGTAGCATGATCAGAGAGGGACAATGCATTTTCAGATGGATGCGGTTTTTCCACTGCAGGGGAGGGGATTCTTAGTGGTGTTGTAGGTTTTGAAGCCTTGGGGTGTGGAGTCGTCTCTCAAGCGTTTCAGTCCCGTTCTGGAGTGCAGATTCCATCATGTTGGAGGAATTGGGAATTATGTTTTTTTCAATGGACTTAGAGTTTAGGGTTTGGTGTTTAGGCTGGAGGTATGACAGGCACAGAGCCCAAGCCTGCCATACCCCCAAACTCCTGTACCCTGACCTGTAGGCCTAACTCTACCTAAACTCAGGTTTGAAGTCCAAGACCCAACATCAAATCCGCTGGACCCATGGTCCTGTACAGCCCTACACCTCTCAAACCCCAACCCCAAGCCCTGCACCCTCACACCCTATGCACCTAAACCCTTTACTCAGTAAAATGATGACATCCGCACGCAGTGAAAAATAGTAGAAGCATCACAATAACATTCATAATATGATGGTACAGTAATGTGAAAGACAGAGCTGTCCTTGAAGCTCAGGAAGGACTACTGGCAAGGCGTTTGCCAAGAGTTCCGGGACGTGCTGAAGGTGATGTGCGTGAGGGAAGGCCTCGGGTGGGCTGTTAGGTTTTAGGGCTTAGGGTTT